AAAGGAAAGTGACACTCTGATTGTCCAATTCCCCCCAAAATGCAGTTATTCTGTAACATTTCAATACCTATATGTACAACTACATGAAGGGTCGCAATTCCCACCCATTGGTTTTTTTTCTAATTATAGTGACATACAATATTAGTTTCAGGTGTACAACAGTGATTAGACATTTATATAACTTACAGAGTGATCTCAACGATCAGTCTAGTACCCATCTAAAATCATATATAGTTATTACAATATTATTAACTGTATACCCTATGCTGTACTGTACATCCCCATGACTGTTTTTATAATTGGTAATTTGTACATCTTAATCCCTTCCTCTTTTGCTCCCAGTCCCCAACCCCTCTTCTCTCTGACAGCCATCAGTTTATTCTCTGTATCAACGCGTTTGTTTTGTTTGTTTATTTTTTTAGATTCTACATATAGGTGAAATTATATGGTATTTGTCTTTCTCTGTCTGACCTATTTCACTTACCATAATACTCTCTAGGGCCATCCATGTTGTTGCAAATGGCAAGATTTCAGTCTTTTTTATGGCCGAGAAATATTCTATTGTATATATGTACCATATATTCTTTATCCATTTATTTATTGATGGACACTTAGGTTGCTTCCATATCTTATCTTAGCTATGTAAATAATGCTGCAGTGAACATAGGGGTGCATATGTCTTGTTGAATTAGTGTTTTGAATTTCTTCAGATAGCGTGCTACCTACAATTTTGTTCTTTCTCAAGATTTGTTTGGCTATTTGGGATCTTTTATGGTTCCATATACATTTTAGGATTATTTGTTCTAGTTCTCTGAAAAATGCCATTGTTATTTTGATGGACATTGAGTTGACTCTGTAGATTGCTTTGGGTCGTATGGACATTGTAACCATGTTAATTTTTCCTATCCATGAGCATGGTAGAGCCTTCCATTTATTTGTATCTTCAGTTTCTTTCTTCAATATCTTATAGTTTTCCAAGTACTTGTCTTTTACCTCCTTGGCTAAATTTATTCCTAGTTATTTTTTTTCTTTTTGATGCAATTGTAAAAGGGATTGTTTTCTTAATTTCTCTAATAGCTCCTTATTGGTGTATAAAAATGCAACTGATTCCTGAATATGCATTTTTTATCCTGCTACTTTACTGAATTCATTTATTTGTTTTAATAGTTTTTTGGTGGATTCCTGAGCGTTCTCTATATGTAAGTCATCTGCAAATAATGACAGTTTTACTTTTTCCTTTCCAATTCAGATGCCTTTTATTTCTTTTTCTTGTCTGATTGCTGTGGCTAGGACTTCCAGAACTATGTTGAATAAAAGTGGTGAAAGTGGACATCTTTTATCTTGTTCCTGATCTTAAAGCAAAAGCGTTCAGCTTTTCACCATTAAATATGATGTTAGCTGTGGCTTTGTCATATATGGCCTTTATTATGTTGAGGTATGTTCCCCTTTATCCCCACCTTGCTGAGAGTTTTTATCATAAATGGATGCTGGATTTAGTCAAATGCTTTATCTGTATCTATTGATAAGATCATATGATTTTTAGCCTTCATTTTGTTTGTGGTATATCACATTAATTGATTTGCAGACATTGCACCAGACTTTCACCCAGAAATAAATCCCTCTTGATCATAGTGTATGATATTTTTAATGTATTGCTGAATTCGATTGGCTAATATTTTGTTGAGGACTTCTGCATCTATGTTCATCAGGGATATTAATCTATAATTTTCTTTTTTTGTCCTGTCTTTGTCTGGTTTTGGTATGAGAGTTATGCTGGCCTTGTAAACTGAGGCTTGGGAACCTTCCCTCCTCATCAACTTTTTGAATAGTTTGAAAAGAATAATGTTAATTCTTCTTTGAATGTTTGGTAAAATTCACCAGTGAAGCCATTTGGCCCAGGGCTTTTTTTGTTGTTAGGAGTTTGTTGGGTTTTTTTATTACTGATTCGATTTCATTCGTAGATATCTGTCTGTTCAGATTTTCTGTTTCTTTCTGATTCAGCCTTGATTCAGGCTTGGGAGATTGTTGTTTCTCAGAATTTATCCATGTCTTCCAGGTTATCCCATTTGTTGGCATATAATTGTTCATGGTATTTGCTAATAATCATTTGTATTTGTGTGACATCAGTTGTTACTTCTCTTTCATATCTGATTTTATTTATTTGTGCCCTCTGTCTTTTTTTTCTTAATGAATCTGGCTAAAGGTTTATCAATTTTGTTTATCTTTTCAAAGAACCAGATCTTGGTTTCATTGATCTTTTCTATTATTTTTAGACTGTTTCATTTATTTCTGCTCTGATCTTTATTATTTCCTTCCTTGTACTTACTTAGGGCTCTGTTTTTTTTCTAGTTCCTTGTATTTCTGCTCTGACCTTTATTATTCCCTTCCTTGTACTTACTTAGGGCTCTGTTATTTTTTTAGTTCTTTTATGTGTAAGGTTAGATTGAGAATTTTCTTGTTTCTTGAGTAGGCCTGTATTGCTATAAATATCCCTTTTAGAACTTTCACTGTGTCCCATAGATTTAGGGTCATTGTGTTTTCATTTTCATCTGTCTCACAGTATCTTTTGATTTCTTCCTTGATCTTGTGTTAACCCATTCATTGTTTAGTAGCATGTTATTCAACCTCCAAGTGTTTGTATTTTTCAGTTTTCTTCATCTAATTGATTTCTAGTTTATACCATTGTGATTGGAGAAGATGCTCGATATGATTTCACTCTTCTTAAATTTATTGAGACGTGTTTTGTGACCTAAACTGTGGCCTAACTTACTCTCTCTCTTCTCCTTCTGGTACCCCTGTGATGTGAATGGTGGTATGCTTGATGTCCCAGAGGTCCCTTAACTATCCTCATTTTTAAAAATTGTTTTTTCTTTTTGCTGTTCTGATTGGGTGTTTTCCACTTCCTTGTCTTCCAGATTGCTGATTTGATCCTCTGCTTCATCTTATCTACTGTTGATTTCCACTAATGTATTCTTCATTTCAGTTATTATATTCTTCATTTTGGACTGTGGTTTCTCTTTGTTGAGGTTCTCGCTGAGTTCATCTACTCTTCCCCTAAGTTCATTGAGCAGCCTTTTAACCAGTGTTTAGAACTCTGCATCTGGTAGATTGCTTGTCTCTAGTTCACTTATTCTTCTTCTGGAGTTTTGTCCTGTTCTTTCATTTGTAACATGTCTAGCTCCTCATTTTGGCTGACTCCCTGTATTTGTTTCTCTGTATTAGGTAGGTCTGCTATGTCTCCCACTCTTGGCAGAGTGGCCTTATGTAGTAGGTGTCCTGGTGGTGTAATCTCCCTGTTCACCTGAGCCAGGTGCTCCAGTGTGTCCTTTGTGTGGGTTATGTGTGCCCTCCTGTTATAGTTGAGCCTTGATTGCTGTGGCACATCAGTGGGTGGGATTGACCTTCAGGCTGACTGGCTGGCCATGACTACAGTAGATAAGCTGTTATGTGGAGACTGACCCCACATAGCAGGAGTTGCTTTAGTGGGGCCCTGGTGCCAGCCAGGTCCGTCCTTTGGGTGTGTGGAGCTAGTTGGATGGTGTGCTGGTGCGGTCTGAAGCTGGCCGCTGGGTGTGTTGGTTCTGAAGACTCCTGGGAATGGCTCTGGTGCACGACAAGGTCCGCTGCCATTTTTGTCTGGTTTGGAGCCACCTACTGGTTGCTGCTTATGCTGGGCTTGGAGGTGCTTAGGAGAGGCTGTGCTGTGAACCAAGGCCAGCTGCCACTAATGTCTGGTTTTTGGCCACTTTGTTGAAGCTACATTCTAGGTCAACGTTGGCCGCAGCTTATCCTGGCTTGGGACCACCTGATGGGAGTTATAATGTAGGTTGAGACCAGTTTGCCACTTGTGTCTACTTAGCAAGAGGTACAGGGCACACCAAGGCCAGTTGCTGTTTGTTTGGGGACCTGTGAGACATTTGAGGAAAGTTCACAGCATGGGCCATTGTCAGCCTCTTGTGTGGAAAAGCCACTGGAAGTGGCTTGGGCTGGGTGCATCAGGTGGGTGGGAGGGGGTTACCAGGGTGGGGCAAATATTCAGCCAGGTTAATGGAGAGCTCAGATTTGGCACCCACCGGTACCTGCTGGCTGCAGGAGGACTCAACAAAGGAGCAATGGTATGTGCCAGTGCTTGTGTCCCCAGAGAGCGCTGCCCTGCCACCCCCCACACTGGAGCCCAGAATGAGTGAGTTTGTGAGTCAGTGAGTCCATGTGCAGGCCCCTTAAGGGGAACACCTGGGACTCCAGCAGCCCTCCATCTCCCTCAAACATAATACCCCCTGGTTTTCACAGTCATGTGTTATGGGGACTCCTCTTCCCAGCACTGGTACCCCAGGGCTGGGAGCCCTCACTTTTCAGGGAGGACCTCGACAGCCAAGATATCCCTCCCAATTCTTTTTTTTTTTTTTNGACCCCTTAATACAGTTCCTCATGTTGTGGTGACCCCCAACCATAAAATTATTTTCGTTGCTACTCTAGAACTGTAATTTTGCTGCTGTTATGAATCGTAATGTAAGTATCTTTTTGTTTTCCGATGGTCTCAGGCGACCCCTGTGAAAGGGTCGTTCGACTCCCAAAGGGGTCGCAACCCACAGGTTGAGAACCGCTGCTCTAGAGGATTTGTAGAAGGTTCAAGTGGAAAGAGACGTGGAAGCTCATTGAAACCAGGCCTCTTAATTTTGAAGCAAGGAATTGGACATTCGGAGATGAATGACTTCCTCCACCTCAAACCATTTCTGAAGCCACTTATTATTACGTTGCCCTCCCCTCCATTGAGCCCCCCCATCCTGCTGTTGCTGTTTTTAATAATAGTCTGGCTTTTATCTGGCAGCACAGATTCCTACTTGAGGAGGAAAGGCTCCTCATTGTTCACAGCACAGAGCAGGCCCAGCAGTCGGCTCCATACGGGTTCGAGATGATCCTCACAGCCAGCCCTGTGCTGGCCTCAGAAGGAAGGCTTCAGGCTCCAGCTTCCTGATGAAAGTAAGGAGCTTTCCCAGTTATTTCCTAATAATCCAACTGCTACTCTTTCATCCCAAATCCTTGGTCTGAGCCTTATATTGCACTTTGCTGAGAGCTTTCACAAACACCATGCTGTCAACCGTATGCACAGGTGGGATTGGAAGTTCTTTGCTGTACTACCGAAAGGTGAGAGAGAGAGAGAGAGCAGTAGACCACTGTTTGACTCCAGGTGAGATCTATAATAGTTCTAGCAAGAATACTTCCCCGTCACAGCAGGAGTCAGTGTCCCCCACATGAGATAGATGTTAACTTTAAAATCATTACACACCTTTGAATGAACTGAGAACCTGGGTCGTTTGTTTGAACACACAGTGAACTGATCCTGTGTAACAAATTATCAAGAGACGTTATAAAGTAATGGGGGCCTTATGCATACATATTCCTCTTCTTGACAACTCAGCAGCCACCTGTGGTCATGTCAGAGATGCAAACACTGCTGGGGACTCAGAGGGAGGCTAGACTGGCTATTGTTGAAACTAAACACTAGCAGGGGTGGAGGGGAGGGGGGCAAATGTCTCCAGAAGATGACTCTCTTTGCCAACCACAGAGGGGAGACCAAGAGTCTCTCTGTCCCTCTCCCCAGCCCTAAGAGCTGTTTCAGAACTGGAGCTGGAACCAGCCTTCATCCCCGCTGCCAAACCGGCTGACCATGAGGCTGGAAACGGGAACAGCTGGCACAGCAGAAGCTGGAATAATACTCATTGCCACAGAGCTGGGCCTGCAGGATCAAATCACAATTGGCCAGCTCAGGCTGGTCGATGCACTCCCTGCTGGGGTCCCTTGGCTGGGCAGCCGTTGCTGCAAAAACAACAGGGAAGAAAGAAAGTGGTAAGGAAGCTGTCTGTATGTGCTGAAATTCTCACCTACCATTTCACTTCCTTAAAAGGAAAGTGACTCTGAGACTATCTCCATCCACTTCTCCCATCCATTCAGTTCCTTAGAATCCACGTATTCAACATACGTATGTCAACTATAATTATATATACATATAACCTCGGGACACGGAGTAGAGTGTGGGAACGGATTCAATGGAATTGTAATAGATAAGCATGATA